CCTGTGCTTCCCAGCTGGGCTCCAGATCCAATGTCCAACCTATAAATATGCTCTGCCTCCTCTCCAGGGAGGATGAAGATGGTAGGCAATGTGCTTAATGGACATTAATGCTTAATGGACATCCCTCTGAGATGGGAGGGTGTGTCCCCTTCCCAGGGACATGCACCTCTTCAAGCTGGATTATTTTTGCAGATGCTTGTCCTCCTGTTTTAAGCCTTGCCAAGAGCCAGGGAGAATCAATATATCCAAATATACCAGACTTCTCCCCGAGTCCCTTTGCTGGTTTGCTGCTGATGTATAGACAGATGATCTCATGAGACCTCTGCCACATCAGGCCACCGTGTCTCATCTATCTTAAGTGTGTATACGAGCTGTGATTACTGCTGTGTCTGAGTGCCTCACGTCTGGAATGTGTTTATCCTCCCGCAGCTCTGGGAGACGAGGGACTGCCATTGTACCTCTTCCAGGGAGGCCGTGGAGGTTAAACGGGCTGATCATGGGGGATATCCTGGATGTGGCCACATCAGGATCCTCCAAGCATCTCCCCAGTCTCTGCCTTGTAGCACCTGCCCCACAAATGACAGTTCAGTCTCAGCTCAGGACTCTGGCTCTGCATGGGATGCAGCTTTCAGCACCCAGCTTAATCCTGAGATTAATGAGGGATTCCGGCTACAGAGACCTCTCGATCAGGCCTCTTACAAGTAAATACACCATCAGCCAAACCATAATGTTTTCCTACCCTGGCAGCCACTGTCTTAAGCCTCACACCAGAATCCATCATACTACAGCAATAATCAAAAAGCAATTAGATAAAACCATGGCAGAAAAGTCCATCAGGGGTCATTAAGGATGACGACTTGGATGCAGCCTCTGGCTCAGAATGTCTGTGTGTGGCAGAGCAGTGCTGGATGAGCCAATGGAGGGATCCACATGCACACACCCAGTTTTATATCCTTTCCTTGTGCCCCTGGCCCTGTCATGGCACGATAACCCCACTTGTCTGCCCACGGAGCCCTTCTCATCATTACTGCTAAACTGTGCCTGCTCCTCCTGGGACAGAGGCTGCTGAGCCTTCATCCCTCCTGGAAGATCCTTCGCTTCAATTCCTTGGCACATTTCCCAAATTTAATGGGAGGCATGACTAGTTTTGTGTCTGCAGCACAGATAAATATCCCCTGGATAGCTCAACATGGTGCCACTCTCTCTGCCAGTGCCTTGGCGTCCCCCTGAGCCCGGTGGCCTGGGATGCTGTGCTTGTTCCCAGCCAAGAAATCCCAGCCTTCATCTGCCGAGACATGAAAACTGGCCTGACAACATGACAATCGCCATGACAACATCAGTTACCCCCAAAAATAAATAAAAAGCACAGTAACTATGGAAACACCTGAGTGACCAAAACCAGGCTATTAACTAGAAGACCTCACTGCAGTTTACAGTGTCAGCACAGCAAGGCTGGGGACTGTAATCCAGGAAAGCCTTGGAAACACGGACGTGCTCGGCACCTAAGGGTGCAAAACGGATGTTTATGGACCCACAGAGTGCTGCCTTTCAGACCCCTGAGTCCAAATCTGTGAAACTTCCACCTCCTCTGGACACATGCTGCTGCCTTCATGCCATTCATGTTATATCCAGGCCACTGTTATCTGCATCATTCTCTCCCTCTTTGCCTCTTTTTCTCCCTCCATTCACCCTCAAGATGCTTCTCTTAATTGCCATCCCAAGGGTCTGGCACAGGGGTGCCAAGAAGAGGTGGAGCTGCCCCATCCCATGCCAGACCTTGGCATCTCACAGTAGTTTCAGAGGGCTGAGTTTTGAAGCCCCAGTGCCTGGCAGCTCTGCTGGTACTTGTGATGCCAGCTGGAGCATCCAAGCCCAGGACAGAGCCTCAAAGCTGTTAAGCTTCCTCTGCTGAGGCAGAAGAAACTGTGACTCCAGCAGCTTCACTTTTTTTTCCACCTCAATCTGTTCACTAACAGGAGTTGCTGTGAGTTAATACAGCATTGCTGGGAGGAGAAATAAAATAAGACAGAGAGGACTGAGGCAGAGGGAGAGAAGACAGGCTGTACCACACCTTACTTGCACTGGCCACAGGCTGACAAAACGCTTCTCGAGAGTCAGAAGCATGCTTTTGTTCATGCAGGAGGATGAGGATGGGCACAGTTAGAACCAAGGTCTGAGAACGGATGGAGGCACCAACAGGGCCAGCACACCTGTGTTTCACAAAATCAGAAGCAGAAAACTCTCTTGCTCAGGTTCACTGAGCTCTTCAGTTATACCATGAACATGGTCTCCTCATCCCAGAAGGAACTCCTCCAGCCCCTAAACTGAACAGAGCTTCCAAAACAGGCTTAACAGCTCCTAGAACATGGCAACAGCTGCAGGCAGGAAAATTCATCAGAGTTTACCTGAATGCAAATTCATTGGAGCAGAGACAGAACAGCCAGGCAGTCAGAGGAGCCTGGAGTGGTTGGCAAAGGGTCTCGAGTGAGGTCAGTCACTGGGGAGCTGGGCTGCTCTCAGTGTGGATCCTCTGAAAGGCCTCCCATGCACTCCCTGGTGAGCAAACACTCTTATTTGCTCCATTTCCCACCAAGAGATGCACCGTGTGCTCACAGGTGCCAAGGAAATCATAAAACCTGTGAAGTGCCTGTGCACAGAGCAGCACTCTCCAGTGTCAGCACAGGGACTGGTCCTTCAGCCGTGCCTGGCACACACAGTGCTGGCACAGCCTGTCCCAAGCAGCACCACTGAGAGCCACTTCCCCACCCGCTGTGTAAACCCTTAAATTATGCACCAGCATTCTCTCAAACAATTCTCCCTCATCCCTTTTCTCCACTACTTCAAGAGAGATGGAGGAAGATGGCGAGAAGGAACAGGAGGCAGCTCGCTCGAGTCTTCCCATGGGATGAGTAGCAGAACAACAACCAAGAGGGGCCAGCACAAACTTTGGGTTTTTTTTGCTTGTCTCTGGCACTCTGAATTAGAATGTATCCTACTAGGAAAAGGGATACTATCCCAGCATCTGCTATAGCACCTCTATGCATTTTCTCTGGCTCTCATTTCCTCACGCTTCCAATCTTCATCTTTGCTGTGTGTGGTGAATGCAAAATGGAGAAGTAGAGGTTCCCCTTGGTGGCTTGGCAGACCTAGAAACAGAGGAGCTGCCCACGGAGATGGGCAACCATGGAAGTTGTCCTGAGCCACCTCTGGGCTCATCACCCTCCATCAGCAGGAGACCAGGCTCTGGTAAATCTCTATGATCATTTGTTCCCTTTGAGTTTTGAAAGCAGAATGCCTAATCATGGCCAAAATCAGGAAGGAGCTGCTGCTGCAAATTACACAGCACCACAGGTAATTTCTGATTAGCTCACTCTTCCTCTCCTGGTGCATCCTCAGTTTCCATAGCAGCTAAGTCCTAAGTAAAATGGAAACATCTGGTTCAAGCGCATGTAAAGATTCCCTGGGGAAAAAAACCTGCTGGATGGCAGCAAACACAGAAAATAGCCCTTGTGAAAGACAGAGGCATCAGGAGCTGGGAGCCTGGTTAGGAGAGGATGGATGGCATGTGGGAGAAGGCAGCAAGGGGCAATGAGTGGGAGACGAGGGTTCTGGGGAGCAGGAGGGGATGTAGGAAGGAGAGTGGGGCTGTGGGAAAACAAGATGCTTGTGAGAAACAGGTGCTGAGGAGGCTGAGCAAAACAAAAACATGTTGTCAGGGTAGACAAGTGGAAGAGTAGGAAGAAAAGGCTTCAAGGTGGGAACGCATGGACTGCCTCGACCATAAATGCTACCTGATGGTGACACACAGTGACAGCAACTTTGATTCCATAGAGACATTCAGGGATGGGGAGGAACACGTGCATCCATTCACAGACCCTGATCAAAGCCACCAGCTCAGAAGCAAGACCACCTACAGTGGCTAAGCCAACATGTGCTCTGGGGGAACGGTTTGTAGAGACTCCTGTCAAGGGAAGGGGCTGAGATGCCACCGACTCAGCTCGCTCTGCCTGGGCTTTGCAGAGTGATGGATCTGGCCCAGCCGTTTGCTCCAGCACAGAAAAAATAGCAAGAAATCAATGGAGCTGCAGCGAGACACCGCAGCCCTCGGCAGGAGCTGAGCAGGGCGAGCAGCCACGGCGCCATCCGTCACTGCCGCCCCTGTGCCGGCTCCTTCGGCTGCCGGACAGCCTGGCCGGGCCTCCCCGAGGACAGCTGGAGGCTGTTGTCTGGAACCACAGCCCACGTCGGTAAAACCTCAGGGGAAACACGACTCTGAGGTGGAACTGAAGCGCTTAGACAGGATGGGAGGATCAGAGGCAGGCGTTGCCGCACGGCTCATCCCACCCAGAGCCTCCGGATCTCACCCCCGGCTCACCCGCGGGAGCCTCGCGGCCGCCTGGGAATAACAGGGCAGCAAAATGCAAAGCAAACGCCAAAAAGCAGCTGGGAAAGGGGGTTGAAATTATACGGTCCTGCACGCCTGGGAATTTGCTTCCCAGCAGTCACACCCACGCAGTTCTGCTGAGGGTTTGCTTACCAATTAACAAGGCCACCAATTAATGCTTCGTGTGTTTTCCTGCTCATTTGCACTATTTACAATTCTCCTTTGAAGCAACGTGTAAGAATTGCCTGGAAAAGTTTCAAAACATGGCCAGACAAGCACATTCAAGTGCAGTGCGAGTGCTCCATGCAGGAACTCCATGATCCTTGTGTGTCCCTTCCAACGGAGAGTATTCCCTGATTCTACAAGTCTCTAAGCACAACAACTCCAATCTGGCACCTACAGCCAGTCCTCCACAGGACCAAAACCATCAGCTCCTCTTCCAGACCACCAGGATGGATGTTCCTCCACCAAAGTCGCCAAGTCCTGTGTTGAGTCACATCTTTTTGGTGCATTTCACCTTCTTCTGGCAACAGAACGAGCCACCAAGCCCTCCCCAGCCACTCACAAAGAGTGCTGTGCCCTTCCCAAAATATTTCTGGTAATGTTTGGCTCTTACCTTTGGGTGAGATGTGTCTCCAGGTAATTGTTGGGTCTGGCCTGCCCGTGGCTATGCAGGTGAGGCTGACATTGCCGCCCTCGTTGATGGAGATGTCAGAAGAGATATCAATGATTTTTGGAGACACTGCAATGATGCAAAGAGAAGAAGGAAAATGAAACTGGTTCTGCTTCAACTCAAATCTTAAACTGTGGGTGAGGGAGGCTGAATTTCCATCCTCCCTCCACTTTGACAATCTATGCAGCAGCCCATCAGTCTCATCTGACTTGGCAGGAACAAACAGGGAAAAGAGGGGGCAGAGAAGACACAGCTGAAGTGGGAAGAAACTGTAGCAGAGGGGATTCAGTCATTTTAGGGAAGCTTGAGATACTCCTCCGTGGTGTGAGACAGTATTTCTTCCTACTCCATTCCAGCATTCCTTGTGTCCTTTTAGCCATGACAAACCCTTCCCAGCAGAGCTGTATCTTCCCTAAAAAACACAAGTCACTCCCTTCAAACTCCTGCAGCGTTTCCTGCAGCTGTGCAGGCTCTGCCACCCAGAGCACTCAGGAGTGAGTCAGATGCAGGGAGTCCAGGCCCCAGGAGTGACACAGGTACAGGAGGAGGGTGAGGATGGGGTGGGAAGGGATGAGGAGCAAGCAGGGAGCACTCAGCTCCTGCTGCTGCCTCAGCAGAGGACACGATGTGGCTGCTGGGGAGGGCTGGGGTTTCTGGGAGATCTACGGTGGGGATGTGTGAGGGGAAACCATCAGTTGCTGTTATCAGCCTGCACCTGCAGAATATAATAAAGACTGTCACCTTCCTGGGTTTGTTTTCTCCGGAGCCTGACACCCTGCTGCAGCACTTTGCAGGAGAGTCACGAATCACCTGCACCTTCCACCCTTTCTGAGAGAGCCCCATTCATCAGCCCCACTTGGGCTGCAGCCCAACACCCCAAATCCCGACTTGGAGCCCACTCCTGAGCCTCCCTTCCCTGCCTCTCCCCAGCTCCCACACCTTCCGGGGCTGCACCAAGCCAGAACGACTGCAATGGCCTTGCACGCAATGCCTCTGCTGTGCAGGTAAGTAATTTATTGATCCGTAAAGCACTCCAAGACGCTCTGGAAGGGATTATGTCATGCCAGTGCCGTGCAATAAAATAAAAAATGATGGATTTTTTGTGAACATGATGGTGATTTAGGGTTTGTAGTTGGAAGTGTAGTTAAAGTACATTTTAAGTGGAAATCAAGGTGGGTAATGAATTATTCTCTGTTTTGAAGGGCTTCTGGGAGTTCATTTTTTTGCTGCTCTGGGCACGATGGCTAATCTGCTAATCATGCACTGGAGAACAACTCTAGATCAGCTGCTCCCAAACAGAGGGGGCTCTGGGGCAGGACAATGGAGGGCAGAAAGACAACACCTAAAGAAATATTAATATGCCTCAGTGTCACTAAGGGGACAGCACATTCCTCGTGGGACCACTCAGAGCTGGGAATACTCTGCCCATGGCCAGCTCCGTTGAGGAGATGCAATTAATTACAACATTATTATGATTGCCCTGCTGTGTTCCTGGTGAGGCGGGGACTGCCAGCCAGGAAATCCATGTGTGCTCTAAAAACACAGAGCATATAATCTGGACAACAAAAATAGGCTGAAAGAGTATTACTATTGTCATTCTGGAGAGGTGAGAAGAGCCAAGCAGAGGAGCAGTGATTGCCCACCTTTGCAGCAAGAGCTTCCAGCTCTAAGTCCCAAGAAAACTAAAGCAGAATCCATCATCTTTAATGTGCTGTTTGCTGCATCACAGAGGAACCTTTCTGATGTTTTTAACTGCTGAATCCACATCGACCCAATTCAGCTTGTTTTGCAGAGGCTTTAAAAAGAACAAGGCAGACTTTACACTGCTACTCTGGGACTGCACAGATCCATTTGCACCCACCCAGGTGAGAGACAAAATTCAACTGACCAGGTTATAAAACATAATTAAAACAACTTAAATTTGGCTTTGATTGATAGGACAAAAGGGAATGCCTTTAACCTGAGGAGAGTTGATTTAGAACAGGTATAAGAAGTTTTTTACAATGAGTGTGGTGAGGCTCTGGCATAGGGTACCCAGAGAAGCTGTGGCTGCCCCATCCCTAGAACTGTTCAAGGCCAGGTTGGATGGGGCTTGGAGCAGCCTGGGATAGTGGATAGTCCCTGCCCACAGCAGGGGAAGAAACCAGAGTGTCTTTAAGGTCCCTTTCAACCCAAACCTTTCCATAATTCTATAAAAAGTAGCTCAAGCTGCTCATGCAACAGGGGAAAAGTTCACCATAGTCTGGCAAGCTCAGGACACTTTGAGGGAGATTCAATTTACTGTGCCTCATCTGGAATGAGAAGAGGCAAGAACGTCTGGGAACCAAACCAGAGAAACATCACTGAAGCTGTTAACTAAGTCTGGAATTGTCTATGCAGTGGTAGGATTTAACATGGTAGTTATTGTATGCTAATTAAATATTTGAATATTTAACCACAAAAACTATTCCAAATGCCTTTCTAGAGACCCAACAGGTGTGTTGTAAGGATTTTAACAGACTGGAGAGGGAAATCTTAATAAATAAATGATCCAAGTACACATTTAATATTATTTAACAGCCACCAACACTTGCAGTCCCTCTGCATTAAAGGACTTTCACCAGCACTTGCCAATTCTGCAGCAGTGGGGCAGAGGAGACATTTCCTCTGCCAAAAAGCAGGATGCAGATGGTGTTGTGCCCCTTTGGGAATGAATAAATAAATAAAACTAAGTAAATGCAGAGTTCCCAGGCGGGAACCCTCTCCTTGCGGGCAGTCCTTTTGTGTTCAGCATCTCTCTTGCTCAGGAGTGATTAAACATGGCAGTGTTGGCCAAGCTGCTCCGGTGACACTGCACAGATTTCCCCACAGGCAACCTGGTGCTTTATTCATTCCACTCCTTCTTTTTTCCCCCTCCATCCTTGCCATGGCTCTGGGGAAGGTCTCTGGGTGCTCTCAGCCCCCCACAGGTGCCATGGGCATGTCCCCAGCTTGTCCCAACACGGCACCCTCTCACACACAAGGAGTCCCCAGGACAGAAAGCAGCTTGCTTAAATATTTAACCAAAGCATATGGTGAGCTCCACGTTCGAGGGTGTTCAGGCAGGTGATAGATGTCTTTGTGGATTCAAGCATATGTGCCTGCCGACACACATCTATTCCCTGGCGCACAGACGCCCTCCTGCCACTGGCACAGATGATCTCCCTGCTCTGCTTTCACCTCCAAACACCCGCTCCTGGGCCAGCACAGGTGTGCAGCTCACAGATCCCATGCCTGTGTCCCACGGCAGCACTGCACACAGATCTTCACATCCTGGGAATGTGGAGGGACTCCCTTGGCATTTCTGTCACCTCCTCTGCTGCCTGTCCCATGGCACCCACTTCCCTGATTATTCCTCCAGCTGCCTTTTATAGCTCATCCCAAACTGCATAAACATCACCAGCTTCGCCTCCTTGCTTTGGCCCTGCCATCTCCATTGCCATCTCTATCATCATCACTTCACCACCCACCTTCCTGCCATGTACTGACTGCTGCTTGCCTGGGCTGTCCCCTCCCTGACCCCGTGTCCCCACCTCTGTCTCCTGACACCCCAGCACCCCAAATTTCAGCCATGCATCAGGCTGAGTTGAAGGTGCATCTGGAACAACATCTCCACCTCAGACTGGCAGAGGGACTTCAAATGAGCCTCACCAAGTTGTTTATTCCTTCTTCAAGGAGCAATTGCATTTTTTTTGCCTTAACCATCCCCTTTCTATCCACTTTTGGGAGCCAAGCAAGTAGTGCAGAAATACAGCTGTGACCTTTCCAGACCAGCAAACCCCTTCTGGTGTGGGAGACAGGCAGAGCAAGTGCTTGCCCCATCCAGTGGGTCTCAGCCCCTGGCACAGTCTGGGAGAGTGACTGTCCTGGTAAGCCCAGCCCTGCTTCCCCTTCATAAAACATGCAAACCTCCATCTTCCAGCACGAGCAACATCTGCTCCAGATCAAAGGAAACAACAAAGAACAACTATAAAAGTGTCTGGAAGACAGAAAAAGAGGGAGAGTCAGACTTGCGTTCTGCAGGCGATCTGTGATGTGCACTGGCAGCTTCCTGAGCATCAGCCTGACACTGCTCCTGCTTTTTGTAACAGCTTCTTACTGCTGTCACACTCAGGCTTCCCTGTGCTTTACAGAGTTTGCTGCCATGGGTCCTGCTGCTGGGATTCGGTGAGGGGGAGTCCTGGGTGTCCTATCCCTGCTCACAGCAATGCTGAGTCAAACAGAGCCCACCCTCCGGCAAACGAGGCTCTGCCAAAGCCAGCCAGGCTCTGCCAAAGGCAGAGACCCCAACGTCCAGCTCCAGGACCCCAGCATTCAGCTCCAGGACCCCAACATTCAGCTCCAGGACTCCTCCAGGCTGTAACCAGAGCACTTTGGAGCTGCCAGGTCAGGAGGAGGTGCAGTGCTGGCTGCCACAGTGCCGGGCCCCTCCATGGTGACTCCTCCCTCTTTTGTGTTCCTGCTTTCTGCCTTTAGGGAGCAAATTGAGAGCCCTGCGCCTTCAATTACAGGTGTATTATAGTGGGCTTTTAAATCAGTTTGTGCTGCTCTAACACAATTATAGTTAAGAGAAAAGCAGAGAGGGCTTCGTCTTTCTGTCATATCATCCTTCCTTCATATAATCTTTCCTTCATATCATCCTTCCATCATATCAGGAGCTGTTTTGAGCCTGCCCAAAGGTGTGAGGAAGGGCAAACACAGCCTCAGAGCCTGCTCAGTCACCAAGGTTTGTACATAAATCCCTTGTGGGTGCCTATCCTGCCCCCCAGAACTGCCTGGACCCTGGGTTGGCACCACCGTCCCCTTCCCAGGTTCAGCACAGCTTTGCTGAGGGATTGATCCCCCTCTTCACAAACCTGGCAGCAGCCAAAGCCAGGAAGAAAGAAGGCTGGAAACAAAGAGGACATACATAACGACCTTAATAAGCAATTAATAAATAACTAAAGACAATTGCTTGTTCTAAAGCGAGGCATAATGAGATGTGTCATACGGCACCGAATTGTGTCTGAATGATTTCCCAGATAGGTAACGGCTCCTGTTGCAGGGAAGCT